TGCATGCATGTGCATGTATGTTATGTTGTGCATATGATATAAGCCCATCATTTACCACATTTCGTAGAAGCTATAGCTTAGTATAAAGATGTTGTTCGCAATACGTTAATCCGAGAAATAAATAATAAAAAATCAATATTATTAATGAATTGAATAAAACGTAATGAATGCAAAATTCAAAATAAAGAATGAAATTATTTATTCATATGTAGACATGAAATCATATGAGCATAGTCGTTGTGGTGTAATTTTACAATTTCTTTAAGATATATTTATCGGCTCCTACAATGTTGTAAAACATTGATAGACTATCTACTATGATACAACAACAAGATGAACATAACAATAGCATAACTGTAGTGATCAGTGAATTGTAACATGTTGTAATATCCCAAATTTTGGACTGTTGATTGAAAAGTAAATTTTGAAAGTTTGGGACCAAAGTGTAAATTTGCAAAAACTCAGGGACTAAAAATAAAAATTTTCAAAAGATATATTTTGGTTCTGTAAATGAGTGGTTCAGCCCAAGAATGTAATTATAATGAGTTTATATTTTTGATTTGGAGTTGGTATAAAAGTTCATTAAGCGATAAAGATCGAAAAAATATTCGGATAATCAGATCGAATCGAAAGTCTTCAAAATTTTGAAGGAAGGTATTTAGGGGCTAGAAATATTATATTGATATTTTTAATTAGTGGAATTTGATGTGAATTAGTGAAATTTGGAGGAATTTCTATGTTAGAGTGGAATAGTGAAATTTAGTGATTAAATTAATTTTTTGGAAAATTAAAAGGGAAAAAGATGGAAATTGATAAATGAGATTTTTATACTTATTTAAGGATATTAAAATGAGATAAAAGGATGGAATGTTGGTAAAAAATAGAATTCATTAAGGGTAATTTTGACTTTTGGGCTAAAATGAATCTTAATTTATTTTAAATTGGACTTTTAAGGATATATTTTGTAAGAAATTTCAAGATAACTCTTCTCTTCTCCAGAAACTGCTATGACTCCAAGGTGATTAAGGTTTTCTTTTTTATTTTTTGGTCTATTTTAGTGAGAATTTGGACTAAAGTGTGAAATAAGAAAATATTCTACACTTAATTCTCTACAAATTGGTGTAGGTATTTCATCATTTCATGCTTAAATGGTGAAGTGGGTATTTATTGTGGTTAAATAGAAAGCTAAAATAAGATTAAATTTTGATTTGAAAGTGTTATGGAAGTATAATCAAGCATAAAAATTTATTGGAATTGAGTAGAAGTTCATGAATAAGGTTTGACCACTAAGGTTTTTCATGAAGAAATGTTGATTTTGAAGTGAATTTGATATGAAAATAAATTGGAATTGTTGACATTGAGCTTGAAACAAATTTAGGGACTATTTAGTAAATATTCAAAGTATTCGGCCTATAAGGAAAATTGTTGGAAAATTTTCAAAATTTTCTTAAGGGTTTATAATGATAATGGAAGTGATCATATGTGCTTGAAATCATGCTTTGGATTAAATTGAAGCTTGAATAAATTAGATGACCATTTTGTAAATTATGGAAATTAGAAGGATCCACGAGCAAAAATGAGAAAGTTATGGTCTCATACTTAAATTTATTATTAGTGTGATGAGACATTGAATTTAGGATTGATTTAGAATGGTTAAACTTGATTAGAAATGAACGTTGGATGATGATTCAAGCTTGAAAACAAATTGGAGACCGTTAGGGGACTACATTGTAATTTTTGGCCATAAGGATGAATAATTAGAAAATTTTAATAAAAATATCCTAGGGATTAGATTGGATTTAAGGATGATTTTCACGAACTGGAACTGAGTTTTGGATTATTATGGAACCATGATAAGTTAGGAGATCATTTTCGCAAGTTTGGAATAATGGAAGGATCAAGAGTTAAGCATTTGAAAATTTAAAACACTATGCTGGAAATTAGTGATGGAATGTGGATTTTGGATTGAAATGAAAAGTTGTGTATTTTAAGGGGTCTATTCGGGAATTTTGAAAAGTTGGTGGTGAAAACTACAAAATTACAATACTAATGTATTAATTGAAAAGTGTTGAATATTGTAGGAAACCGATGAATGATATGGATTAAAGTGACTTATTAAAGGATTTGGAAAGATAATTTAATAGAGTTAAGGTCGATTTCGGTTTAGTAAGAAATTAGTATCTAAAGTACATGAATAGTATTTTAAGAATTTTGATTTGAATTAGAATTTATTATATAAGTATCAATACTAATATATGTTTGAAATTATATATGTCGAGAAATCGATTGATGTGTAGATCGCGACCGAAAGTAAGATAAAAGTGAATTAAAAGAAAATGATAAAACCATAGAGTGAAATGATCGTAGTATTAAAGCTAGTGAGGCAACAGGTGAGTGCAACTAACTTTTTATATAAAATGATACGATGATGACTTGCGATGAGTCAACCTCAATTGATCTGAAAAGAAAATATTTTTAAATTGTATTTTTAAAAAATACAACATTTTATTATTGTTTATTTTATAGCATGTGAATAATTTGGGTATGAACTGCCCAAAATTGATTTTTATAGGATTTTTATTTATATTCGATTATATGGATGTTTTATATGGAGATCAATATATGATTTTTGAATTACGCCCATTGTATGAGATTGAAGGTTAGTGGTACAAATGACATGTCATGAGGTGTAGTGCTTATTGATTATTGTTCACTGATTACTTATACTGGCACTATATGTGCATTGTGGGTTCAAGATGTTATGACATTGTGAAATCTATATTGGATTACTAGTATAGTGATGTTGTATTTTACATTACCTATACATTACTGTCACTGGCACTGAAAGTGCAAACTGTTACTAATAATAAAACAACAAATAACACGCAAACTCGTTTATTGACTCACGTACAATATATTCTTATGATGATACAGTGGGCAATAACACGAATTGAAATAGAGTAGTACATAATTGATATGACATAATATTGTTGATTGTCAGACTATTTAAGTAAATTTTTTATTACGGGATTTGAACTGACAGTTAAATTTATAACTGCTAGTATATGCAAATAATTTTATTGATCGCAATTGAACTTATACATATTTAATTTTAATAATATTTTTATATGATAACACTTGTTCTATATGTTAAAAGTTTTATTTATTTTATTATGTTGCCTCAGTAAGTTGAAAACTTAGCGTGTGATTGGTTTACACGTAGGTATTAAGCTAGCGAGCAAGGTAGAATGCGCACCGTCATTACGGGGAAATCAAGTCCGACACCAGAATCAGTAAGGACATCTTGTTTTGTTGTATTTGTAGTTAGTTGCATGTATATTAATGTGGTTTTAGTTGCTTTAATATTTATAATTATATAACTATTTATAACATAATACCTAAAATTGTTTTAAAATAGGTAATATTAACTACTATAAATAAAATAAATGAATATTACAATATTAAATTATGTTTTTAAATATTACATTATGGTTATATGTGATTATTAGTTTTAAAAATAAAGAAATGCATTTTAAGATTTTAAAGAACCAAAATTTTAACGTTTTTTTATACGATTGATGTGATATATTTAACTCGTATGCGGTAACATATATGAGTTAAGGGTATTACACCACCTTTTTCTATCACCGAAATTGTTCAAAAAATAGAGAAATATTGTGTGTGTAACTTGTAGATCTACATTGTTTAAATAAGATATTTATACTGAAACAATTATTGGGGAGTTTGAACAATGAAGTAGTAATATCCGAGAACCAAGGAGTTATTAATGCATAATATTTTTGTCTTGTGAATTAAAGTAACAATTACATAGAATAATCGTCTTGTGATTTAAGCTCTTCATTTATTTCAACTTAACTCATAAGTAAATTACTTTCTACGCCAATTTCTCATTTATCAATCAATCATTATAAATATATGATATATCGTTATAGTTGTCTTATTAAATAGAATATAAAATCATAATTTTATGGAACGAAACACTACTCAAAGATCAAGAAAATATCAAGCATGCCCGTGATCATGCACATGCATATATATATATATATATATATTATGTAGTGCATATGATATAAGCCCATCATTTATCACATTCCGTAGAAGCTACAGCTTCAGTATACAGATGCCTAGTGGTAATGTCACGTATTTTTGGAGCTTATGAGTTGTAGATATCGACATTTATTTGTACAAAAGAATTAAAAGACAATAGCAGAGAGGAAATAATAGGAAAAGCTTAGCACGATCAGTATGAATTACGAGAGGTAAAAGCAGAGAAAAAGGAAAAGCCGAGAGATTATATTATAGAAGATTGCATACTTTTTAAGTGTAGCGAAGCTGACGGTCACGTGGATTACTCTGCAATGTGTCTGACAAAATTGGTCCACCTCCATCAGTCCTCTTCACCAGTACTGTAGCAAATTTATGCATGAAAGCATTTTTGTTTTAATTGAAAATTGAAAGATTAATAATGGGTTTTGATTGAAAATAAGGCACCACATTATTCTTTTCATGTTCCAGTTAATAATAGGCCTTTTCTAACCTAAGTCTATGCATAATGGGTTTTGTTTTCGTATTCAGTGATTTAAAGAATGATTGTTATTTGTAAAAATTTCATTTTTGAGTATGATATTTACAAGTGTTTAAATATTTATTGTCGAATTATTTTAAATTTTAAGGGTTAGCTTTTAACCAGCATGTTTGTGTGTTGTTGGTATTCTTATTTCTATATAGATTTGGGTACCCCACGGTTTCCATTGCAGAGGGCTGCGCCAGTGTTGACAGCATCTTTAAGAATCGGGAAGACAAACCCTAAATTTGAAACAGGGTTTAGTGTTTGAGCTTCTTTCTTTTCCCTGCCCCTCTCACGTGCACCGTATCTCTCGTTTTAGCTTCTTGAATATAAATGGATTTACCTTTGGAAAACCAGAAAGCATCTTCATTTTAACCTCTCCTAGTGTCTCTTTATCTCTTCCTCTCGCTCTCAAATTTCTCTTGAAAGAAATGACACTTGAAACTCTTTCTTCCAACGAGCTCTTGAACTTCGTTATCTACGATACCTTATCTGCAACTCCATACAGCAGCAATGACTCTTTCGTGTCTACTTTCTCAATGGAAAATATTTTCAGTTCCCAAGATCAAGCTAGCAGTACGGTTCTGAATTGCTTTCCTATGGTGGTGAATACTCCTCCCCCACAATGCATCCCCTCGACAGCAACGGAAACTGTCGAGCGGAGGCCGAACTTGGCGGTTCAAGGGAGGAAAAAGCGGAGGAGAAAGCCGAGGGTTTGCAAGAACAAAGAAGAGGCCGAGACTCAGAGAATGACTCACATTGCAGTTGAGAGAAACAGGCGGAAGCAAATGAACGAACATCTGGTTGTTCTACGCTCCCTCATGCCTGAATCTTATGTCCAAAGGGTATGTTCTGCTTCCTTTCCTTTTAGTTCCCAGCCATTAAAACTCAGGATAAGGGACAGTATACAGTTCTATGTTGGGATGCCCTGGTAATTATGATGAACATGTATAACACGGGTTTATATACTAAATTGATGTTATCCATTTTACTGGATAACTAATTGATGTGCTTAAGAGAAATACAATTCTGATGTGATTCAGTACAGTTCTGAAAAGCTGGACTGATTGAAGTCTAAAGTTCAATAATAGTTTAGCATAATGTTTCAGCAAAATCTATCAGAGCTTGTCAAGGTGAAAAAGTTTCAACTAGAATCGGCAAATTTTTAAAAGAATTCTATTATTGCCTTTTGCTTTTCTTTGTATTATTCTTTTGTTTGCTAGTCATGCAAAAGCTGAAAATCATACAAGAAAAGCTGTTCCTCTAAATTTTGGTAATAGTAAACATCAAAGGATACTGCAAATTACCCATTTTTCTCCCAAATCAGAAGTTTAACATAAATCATTTTCATTTTTGCATGTGCAGGGTGATCAAGCATCCATAGTTGGTGGTGCCATAGAGTTTGTGAAGGAGCTTGAGCATCTTTTGCAAATCCTTGAAGCTGAAAAGCTTCGGGTACTGCAACAAGTAAGACCAACTGCAACTGCAGCTACTGCTGCCATTAAAGAAACCAGCAACACCAACTCCAATCTGCCATCGCCATCACCATTTGAACAATTTTTCATGCATCCTCACACCACCTGGTCTCAGATCCCTAACAAATATGCATCAACGGCCAAGGCAGCAAAGGCGGATATCGAGGTGACGTTGGTCGAAACTCATGCTAATCTTCGAATCCTCTCACGGAAAGGTCCCACGCAACTTTCCAAGCTTGTTGCCGGTTTCCAATCACTTTACCTTTCCATCCTCCACCTCAACGTCACCACCATGGATCCATTAGTTCTCTACTCTATCAGTGCCAAGGTGATAACACTCATTGCAATATAACATATGGTTTTTTAAAGTCAAAATATCACAATGTCATTCTACGACCAATGCAAAATTTCATGTTAGGGACGAACTGATAAAATTTTAAAACGACATACCTATAAAATTTAGGAGAAAAAAAAATATTTAAAATACATAGGAATTTGAAAATATCATGGTACGATAATAAAATGAAATTTATCCAAAAAAGAAAATTCAGGAACGGCTGTCCCAGCCCGCTCCTAATCCATCCCTGTCTACGACTATAAAGAGATGGTCATCTTCAAATATTGTTGCTAGTCATGTAATTTTGTTTTTCTCCTTGAAAGGGAAAAATGTCATTATCCATAATTTTAGACCAACTCTGTTTAGTTATTTTCATTTCCATGTATGATTGAAGAAAACCATAGAGTTTTGGGCTAAAATTTGAAACATTCTGAATGCAGGTTGAAGAAGGATGCCAACTCAGTTCAGTAGATGACATTGCAAGGGCAGTTCACCACATGATCGAAGTAATTGAGGAAGATGAAACTGACTTATGTTGATCCATCCAAGTCACCAAAATACCACCCACTTTTTTTTTCTCGAGTTTCTGGAATTTTTACTTCCCATGTATGTATGTAGCTTGAGCCAATGAAGTAGTGTGTATGAAATATATAGAACTTTGTTACTAGTTATTGTTTTTACTTTAAATGGCAATGGGATCGTTGTTGAGGTCTCATGCAATCCATACATCAAACACAGTCGATTCTCGTTAGGTTTTTCACTAAAAATCGGAGTTTATCAGTGGCCAGAGATGAATATGACATAAAATTACATCAAACATTATGAATTTACGTTATAATACCTATGATTATTCCTCAGAAATTTTTCCGCAAATCATACTTATGTTGTTATTCCTCTACTTATAATTTCGGAAGCCCTCGGTTCATTAAAGTCTCAGGAGTTTTATCCCTTAAGGTTAACTCTGGCAGACTCGCGTGATCATCGTCATCATCACCTTAGAATTGACACCAACATTAAGGGGCTTGTATATAAGTCACCAAGAGAAGGTGACTCTCTTTCCATCTCTCAACGACGGTTCATCATCATCTTCAACCTGTACGTTCTTTCTTTTCCCTCTAATAATCAAACGACTATAATTCTCCGTCGAAACTAAAAGCAGTGAACCGTAAGACACTACAGTCCCGTTTCAACCAGCAACACATATAAATTGATATTTAGCAGCTGGAGAAGGCCGTTTTAGTCCAAAGACCAGAGCCATAAGTCATATTTTGTATAGCAAAACACGCATCTTGGTTCGAAAACTTGCAAGAAAATCCAATCCAATAACGTACAAGCACTTGATAGGGTGGTTGTAAATGAATCTCTGGTCTCTCATGTCTGTGTTTCTCTTATAATAGAGGAGACAAGTTCTGGTAGGAGCAGGTTTTACGATGATGAAGAGAACTGGAAAGTTGACATTGGTGCATGCGACGGGGAAGGGTATTGGAAAAAGTGATTCTCTACTTTCTTGTAGTTTTTGCAACAGATGAATAAAGCTGAGAGTTTTAGAGATGTTTAAAGATCAATTATTTTCTGGGGACTCGATCCATGCATCATCTCTCTTATTTTTGTTTGTTTATGTACGTACCACTCTTTACCTTAATTGAGACTTGTGTCTTCTTCTGTAAACCATGCAGTGACGTCGGATCGATCTTCACCGTCTCTTTTTCTTTCATTTGTCTTCGTTAATATTTAATCTATTAATCAATTATTTTAATATTTGATTTATTAAAAATATAAAATATCTAAATTATAATAGACATTTATAATCATAACGGTAAATTAAATATAGAGTATTTTTTATAATCAATAATACAAAAATTAGTCACTTAATATCTAATTAAGTAAATTTGAACAAAAGATAGATACAAACATGTTTTATTACATCGGCAAAAGGAGATCAAATTATTAAAATATCATTGATAAATAGTAAATTAAAGCCGAACGACATAAAAAAATTATCAACGAACACAAATTACATATTCAAATCTAATCCAATGATCCAAAGCATGAAATATCAACATAAACAAATAAATGTCACCATAGAAGAAAACAATTACCAAAGGGTCGAAAACGTGTACTACAAAAGACATAGTTATTAATATTTAAAAACTAAAAAACTAAAAATATAATAATAGAAACAAAAAAGATAATGAATACGGTCAATAGACGACCAACGTCAAAATTAATGTCGTCGTCAATTATAAAGATATGAAGAAAATAAATTAGAGGCAATCGATAAAAGAAAAATAAAATATATACGTATGAGCATGCATCGATGATCATCCCAAATGGAAACAAACAACAGAGAGGACTCGAGCACTCAGCAGGGAACCAAAAGCAAAGAAATATTGGGCCTTGTGTGACTTTGTTCAACTAGTAAATCATGAGCTATATTTCTTAAAAGAAAATTGTGGTCCAAAAAAGCCCATTGAAATGGTCTAGGGACAAAGTTGATGTTTATTAATATTTAAAATCGGATACAAAATGTAACACGTGTTTTTCACGATCTAATTAATGAACCAGGTAAGCGAGAAAGTCCAAAAACATTGAAATAAGTTTTGGATTGCACAAGATGATTGTAGTTCTCACTTAGGCTTATGATCTTATACCATTACATACAATTACATATGTAACTATTGCACAGTCACACAATCGCTCTTATCATTTTCATGAATCAAGAATCATGATTATACGACTATGAATATGATCGGTTTCCCATATAAAAGCTATAGATTTTAAAGAGGTATAGATAGATCTCTTACTCTTCCTTGCCTAGAAAGAAAGAATCTACCACTTGAAAATGATCTCTTCATTGCAGCAGGGTTCATTACACATTGCAACACACTCATTCTACTGCTAATCTTACTGCTATCTCCCTCTTGACCTGCAACTGAAACTTGGGTTTCACATAAATGGTCCATAGAGATTGACCTTCTCATCTGTTGAACATAATCTTCTTCTCTAATATGAATCACGGCGTCTCTTTGCGATTCTTGTTCATCATCTAGATGTTCATTTCCTGGAGGAGTTTCCGTCACCGGGGACGGCAACGGAGGTGCTGCTGAAGCAGTAATAAACACTATATTAGCTCGACATAAAGGGCAATTGGAGTGAGACCTAAGCCATGTATCAATGCAGGGGTGATGGAAAGCATGGCTGCATTTAGGCAACAACCTTAAACTCTCATCATCTTGGAACTCGTTGAGGCAGACCGAGCAATCAGTTCCTTCGACGAAACCATCACCCTTTTTGTATCTGAAAGCCGTGATGGACTTGATCAAAGCCTCATCCAATCCGGTAGTCGAAATCTGCCACGGCTCATGTGCAGATGGGTTGTGATCATCATCTTCCACTACTTCATCGGTTCCATGATCATTCTCTCTTCCACTAATGGACTCCACCCTCCCACAATACTTTGATGTTATTGTGTAGTAACTCACCAGAAGAAAAGCACTGGCCAAAACGCCGCTAATGGCAATCACAAGAGGGGAGAAACTTGGGGGTGAATCATTACCGGCAGTGAATTGTATTGGAGGTGGTGGAGGGTAGATGATGTAGCACCATTGAGGACAATACAAGCTACAAAAACCTCGGGAACAGTCTTCGGTGTTCACGTATGGCACCCAGGCTTTTGGGTTACCAATAGATCCCATAACAAAATCAGTAACAATTCCAAAGAATTATAGCATATAGCCAGAAGCAAAAGAGCAAAATACAATTACACTGCAATTGAACAATGCATGTGCAGAAGAACAGCGTATAAGTAAAATTTGTTGAAGAGACAAAGAAAAGGGTGGAAAAGCAGGTTAAGTACAAAGGGATAGGGACCTACATGGAAAGCAAAGACAGAGAAAGAAGCAAGACAGTTCCTAATGGGGTTTTTTTTTTTTTTTGCTTCTTTATCTTTATCTTTTATTTGTTTATTTATTCCCCCCTTCTTCTTTAGCTAAAAAGAGTACTGACATAGTTTCACCATTTTTTTTACTTGCAAATAAAAAGATAAAAAAGAGTGTTGGTTACCTAGGAGACTCTAACCATAAAAACGAATACGTTTGCAAATGCTAAATGAATATATTGACGAAACGTTAAATGAACATGTTGATGAACATATAAATGTAAATGTTCGCGAATATTAAACAAACATGTTCACGAATACTAAATGAACAAAACATAAACAACTTCAAAAATAAACAAACGAACATAAACCACTTTAAAAGCAAACAAACTGATACAAACATAATCTTATTCATTCAAACTTAGTTTATTTACGACTCTACCCACCAAAATCATATATTATGGAGTGATCCGTAAGATTTGGTAAACCAAATAATCTAACTTGCTTTTTGCTAAGAGAATTTACCTCATACTGTCCTAAAGTAGGCCATGACCACATATTTGCAAAGGTAGGTGTCGTAATCAGTTTTCGCCCGGTCACGAATTTTTACTTGGCGAAAAAATAAAATAGATAAATAAATTATTTTGATTTAAAAAATGTTTTGGGAGTCGTCATTGATCTTTTTGGGTTAGGTAGGTCAACTACTTAAAAATAATCTTTTAAAATAGTTTTTTAAGAAAACATAATTTAAAAGATAAACTGATCTGCGTATAATAAAAAAATTTAGTAAAAAAGGGTTCGTGATCGGTTACGTTTAGAGAATGATTAACACCCCTATAACGCCCAAAATTGGTACCCATTAATTATAAATTGTCTCTATTATTGGAAATTTAAGAATTCAAAAAATATATTTAATTCATAATCCTGTGATTTCAAATTTATTAGTATAATTTTCGGAAAGATATATTAATATTTATAAATAAGATATTTATTTATTTAGAAATATCATAAAAGAACTTCTAGTTGCTTTAAGACAACCCCCTTTCTTAATATTAAAAAATAAATAAATAAAATATTTTCTCTAAGAATAATTAAAATAAGTTAATACATAATAGAATATCAGAAAAAGACTTCTAGTTGCTTTAAGACAACCATTTTCTTAATATTAAAAATACATATTAAATATAATTATTTTTCCTAAAAGTAATTTATATAAAATTAAATTTATAAATAGGATTTTTATTTAATAAATATTATAAATAAATATTATTATATATATTTATATGACTAAATAATAATAATAATAATAATAATAATTAAATATATTGAAATTTAAAATATAACTAAATAGTGACTAAAATAGACAAAGTTGAAACTAGGGTATTAAAAAGTAATAAAACTTGTAAATAAATTAAAATTAGTGATTAAATTATAACATATTAAAATTAAATGCCTTAATTTGTAATTATTTATTTAATATTACAGTGGCTAAACATGTTATTTTACCTATTTATTAATTTAGTGACTAAAATGAACATATATTAAATTCAAACATCAAATTAGAATAAATTAAAACATGCTTTTCGGGGTTAAAATATCCATTAATAAAATTATAATGGCTAAATTGGTTATTTGCCTAAAATCTATATATTTATGCTAATGACTAAATTATAAATTAAATAAAATTCATAGACCGAATTAAAAGGATCTAAATTTGATTTCAGTGACTAAAATAGAAGTTTACAAATATGGGATGACAACGTGTATAATTTACCCATTTAAAATTACGCATATACCCCTCCCCAAAATGGCGTCGTTTGGGAAGAGGTATTTAAACCCTAATATGGTCGGCCCTTGGCCATTTCTCTCATTCTCTTCTTTCCCATTCTCTCTCTAACTGAGAGAGATTAAAAAACTCTCTCGCCTCTCTCTAAATTCCTCCAATCGGAGGAAGGTCGGCCGCCGTATTTCGGCGCCGATCGTCGCTGCCGGCCACCGTCTCCGGTGGCCGAAGATTACCAAACTACCCCAAAATTTAGATCTCGTCGCCCTAAGGCCGAATATGACCTCTATTTCCTTTAAAAAGCTCTCAATCAGAGCAAATCTACGAAAATACCTTCAGTTTTCGAAGGCTTTCGATGGCGCGTGGAGTCTCCGATGGCGTCGCAGCTTCCTTGGTAAGGTTTCTCTTAATTTTAGTTTTGATGTTTTGGTGGTTTTTGGTGGTTGTCTTCTTCTCTGTTGCTCTATGTCTTTATTTTGCAGGTTCGGTCGATGGCTTTATAACCATCACCGGTGATCGTCTCGGACCGGGTAAAAGGGTTGGAGTTTGGCGAGTCACCAAACTATAGTGGTGACTCACCATAGCCCTCAATGTGGACGGTTTTCTTCAAATCTTCTGGAGGCTCCTGTTGAAGCGTGGCAGCGGCTGGTGGAGGTGTCAGAGAGGCGGTCGGCGTCGTGGCCCTAGGGTGATGATACCCTAGGGTTTCATTTGGAACCATGTGGACTGTTGGATCAAGGTTAGATCCAACGGCTGAGGATCTGCGGTGGTTGGGGTATTGGATGAAAACCCTAAATGGGTTTAGGGTTTTTTTATTGGGCCGGTCTGGGTTGGACTCTTGTAATTGGGCCGGTCCGGTTTGGTTTTAGGCCTGTAATGTAAATAATATTTATTAATAATAATAATAATAATAATAAATAAATAAATAAATAAATAAATAAATAAAATGAAAAAAACTGATGTCTACTTCTTGTGTTAACAAGAATAGGGCAAAGACGAAAAAAGACAATGAGTTTTTTTCATTTGACTTTTCTTGATTAAGATTGAAAGGTTGAATAAGTTGTTCTTTGGGGATTAGTTCTTCTCATTATGAACTCTTCTATTCTTCTACTGGGGATGATAATATGATAATCTATCTTTTTCTTCGACAAGATCTAGCAAAAGGTTGAACAAGCTCTTCTCATTATGAATTTCTTATTCTTCAGATGAGTTCTTCTCATTATGAACTCTTCTGGAAATATTGACCATCAAAAGAGGTATTGTTAATTCAACTTCAATATGTGATGAATCAAATTAAGGTTGAACAAGTTCTTCTCATTATGAACACTTCTGGAAATGTTGATGCTGATCTATCTCCTTCTGTGATAGAGTCATGCAAAAGGTTGAACAAGCTCTTCTCATTATGAACTTCTTCTTCTTCAAATGAGTTCTTCTCATTATGAACTCTTCTGGAAATATTGACCTTCAAAAGAGGTATTGTTAATTCAACTTCAATATGTGATAAATCAAATTAAGGTTGAACAAGTTCTTCTTCTTCAGATGAGTTCTTCTCATTATGAACACTTCTGGAAATGTTGATGCTGATCTATCTCCTTCTGTGATAGAGTCATGCAAAAAGTTGAACAAGCTCTTCTCATTATGAACTTCTTCTTCCTCTTCAGATGAGTTCTTCTCATTATGAACTCTTATGAAAATGTTGATGCTGATCTATCTCCTTCTGTGATAGAATCAAGCAAAAGGTTGAACAAGCTCTTCTCATTATGAACTTCTTCTTCCTCTTCAGATGAGTTCTTCTCATTATGAACTCTTCTGAAAATGTTGATGTTGATCTATCTCCTTCTGTGATAGAGTCATGCAAAAGGTTAAACAAGCTCTTCTCATTATGAACTTCTTCTTCCTCTTTAGATGAGTTCTTCTCATTATGAACTCTTCTGAAAATGTTGATTCATTGAATGATGGATTCGAATCTTTGCTAAAATCTTTGAAATTCCTGTCAAATATTCAACATGAATAAAATGAATGAAAATACCACTATTTTTGCAAATGTCTAAATATGATGCATGAATATTAAGTTCATTTTTATTTGATCTTAAAGTGGCAAACTCTGTCTTCTTTCACTTATTCAAAATCATTTCAAACTGGAACTCTCATCGTAGTTAGAACTATGACCTTGATGCCCCATTTGGTCTTTGATAAATCGGTTTTTTTTTTCTGAACTTGTATATAAATCCAATAAATCTTTCTTCTTTGAAAAGAGAATCTATCATCTTTGAAGAGAGAATCTATCATCTTTGGAGAGAGAATCTATCATCTTTGGAGAGAGAATCTATCATCTTTGAAGAATGTATCATCTTTGAAGAATGTAGATGTAGATATGCCAAACTTAGTAGAGATAAATTAAGAGAGCAGTATGTTCTGATTTTTGAAACACATCAGAATGAGGATTTATTCTAATTCCTTTCATGTCTCCGCATCTAATTGGATATTGAACAAAGCTATTCAGACCATATTATGTCGAGATGCTTAACAACAATCTGCTGTTCAATCTTAGTTGGCTCCACTAGTTTCTTGTTGTTAAAATTTTAGCTTCACTTCTGTGGAAAAAATCTTCATCATATCTCACTTCAAAGCTTGGTGTTGAAGAAGACAAACTTCATTTTGGATCAATAAATGGAAACACCATATGATCGTAACATTGGTTTAGCACCATAATTACTAGTTTGTAAAACATTTGACAATACATTCATCTTTTCCTGTGGCTTATGCCTAGATTTTTCAATCAATGAAGTCTTTGCATAGTGTTCAGAGCTTTTGTATGATGTTATTAAAGAACAATGCTCGGTGGGAATATAAGTGAAATACTTTAACTGTCAGCATCAAAGCTCCACTGTCACTGTTTCACCATTTTCATTCTTCATACCTTTCTGTTTGATTGGAAATATTTGCTCAAAGAACACTGTCCAATTCTCCTTGTTCAGAATTTCTTTTCTGCTTTTCTGTTTTACTTGCTTCCAACTGATTCTATGATTGCAAATGTTGATAAGACTTACTTTGGATTTCATGCACTTAAAAGTATTAACATAAAGTAATAGCCATAAATCTTTTGCTTATTTCAAAATTATGTTAATCCATTTGCAAGATATTTATATAAAAGAATAAATTGAATTTCGAAAATAAATTGAATTTCGAAAAGATAAACTTGGAATCTATTAATATATAGAAATATATTCAAAGTCATGGCAAACATAGGAATGAT